ACGGACCCTGACCCATCCACTTACTAGCTGTGTGAGCTTGGCAAGTCACGTAGGCCCAGCTTCCCTATCCGTAAAATGGGGATAATAATAGCACCTTCCTTATAGGGTTGTGATGAGGAGGGAATGAGTTACTGCACACTAAGTGTCTGGAACAGCACCTGATATAGTAAACACGTCATAAACATCAACTATTATCTTTGTTGTTATGTGCCTGGCGCAGTGCCAGGTGTTGAGGAAACTGCTCCAAAATGTTCCTCTGGCAGGAATCCCTGCACGCCAGCCCTTGTTCCAGCCGCCCATCCTCTCCTCCCAGCCCCACCCCAAGAACTCGGCCTTGCAGTAGCTCCCCTAGTCCCATAGGGCCGCCCTCTACATCACCTCTCAAGCCAGGAGGAGAGAGTCCAGGCAAGTGAAGCCTGTCACACTTTGGTCTTCCAGCCTTACCTCCCTCTGCCCTGCCACACGTACCCTAGCCTCAGCCTCTCCAGGCCCACATATGTCTCCAGATTCATCCCCAAATCGTCCTGCCTTCTTGCCTTCACTGGGCCTTGATGGATGGATGGTTTCTTCCATCCATCAGAATGCCAAGCACTTCCTATCAAGGTCCTTCAAATCCAACTGAAGCGTCATCATCCCCAGGAAGCCCTCCTTCCTTCCCCTCAGCCAAGAATCATGAGATCTGCCTCTGAATCTGCATTTCCCTTTGTTTGCAATTGTTGTTTCTTTTTTAAGTTCTGTGAGCAATGGGGGGCCATGGAGGGTCCTTGAGCAAGTGAGCAAGACATTCAAAGCTGGGCTTTAGAAGAATGGACTAGACCCCATAGAGGGTGGAGACAGGAAGAGACTGCAGGTGGGGAGCCCAGGTGTGGAGACTTCCGGGGCAAAAAGACCTTCAGAGGAATGAGGGTCCAGTCTTCCTGGGCTGCTCCTCCCCTCTCTGCTGCTTCCATGTCCCCACTATAGAATCAGCAACTCTGATTTCCCCAACATGACTCACTAAATCACTGGGACAGTCAAAACTGACTCTCCATGCTCGGACCCCTGGAATGTACGGATCCTCCGCACCCCTCATTCCCTCTACCTTCCCCTGCAGCCACAAAGCAGGCTGTGGGCACTGCAGTCGGGGAGTCAGGGGAGGCCAGTGCTGCATACTCGCCTGGCTGTCCATCATCCCCAGAGCCCAGCAGGTGAGAAGACAGCAGTGCTCCTTCATTCCCTGCTGAGTGAAGGAATCAGCCTATGTTTTCCAACTAATCCCTACAGCAACCTTTGGACATAGGCCCTATTTTAACCCATTCTGCCGCTGGGAAAACTGAAGCTCAGAAATATGAAGAGACTCGCCCAGGGTCAGGCAGCCACCGAATGCTGGAGTCAGAATTTGAATCCGATCTGATCCCAAAAAGCCAGTGTCCTTCCCTCATCACACAGGGAACAGCAGGAAGAACATGAGGTTCCCAAGGCCATGTTCCCTGGGCCCACTCTCAGGAGGTCTCGGCAGCCCCTCAGATCCGTATGCAAGGGGACCATAGAGCATGTGATGCTCAGCTCAGCTCGGTACCCTGTTTGGACTCCTGGAGGTCAGGGGAGGGAGGAAGGAAATTGACCCCTTGGGGTGGAGCAGGGCTTAGCTGGAGGCAGGTGCCTGGATGCCTGGGTCCTAGTACAAGACTTGCACCTGACCTGCCGTAGGACCTGGGTGAGTCCTTCCCGGCCCTGGGCTCAGAGTTGCCCTTTCGGAGAAGAGGACAATAGGTTTGCTGCCTTCTGCGTCGGCCCTGCCTGCCGAGCCTCCGTGCCCTTACAGCCTGTGGCCAGATGAGGGATGTGGATTTGAGGGAGTTGGCATTAGAGGACCCCCCCCACCCCATATTTCTGCCAAGGTTGGAACTGGCTCTCTCCTGCCCACATTTGGAGATGTGCCCACACAGACAGGCCCCCTGCAGGGGTTCCGGAGTTAAGTCGGCAGCCACTGAGAGCAGAGGGTGAGAGCACAGGGCCCAGCAGCTGAATTCACATCCTGTTCTACCACTCACCACCGGTGTGCCTCTGGATTTGGAATTTACCTCTTCTTGCCTCAGTTTCCTCATCTGTAGACAGCGCTCACACACCCGCCCCCCATGAGTGTTAGGTAAAAGGCTTGGCCACACACTAGCAGATGCTCAGTAAGCAGCAGCTGCCCTTACTGCTGTGGGTCCTGACCACCCTGCCCCTGCCCTGGCCTCCTGAGCTCAGTGGGTGTTCCAGGGCTCAGGCCGCAAGGGGCCTGCCCAGGCCCCCCAGCTGGGTTGGGAGTCCTCCCTCCTCAGGAGGGAGCCTTGAATTGGAGTGCTCCTGCCAACCCCTCCCTCCTGGCTTGGCAGCGTGAAGACAACGCTGGCCAAAAATATTTGTGTGGGTGGCGGAAAGTTAACTCTTCCGCCTCTCTCTTCTTTCCTGGAAACCGTGGCCACCGTCAAATACAGCAAAACAGAAGCAGAGATAGAGCGAGGCGAGGCCCCTGTGGCGTGTCAGGGAGAGCCCTGCCCCCCACACCCACTCCTGCCTGTTGCCATCTGGCTCTGTGATGGTGTGGGTGGCGGTGGTGATGGGGGAGGGGGGCTCCAAGGGCCTAGAATCATGGCATCCTGCAATGCCAACGTTGGATGGACCCTCCAGCATCATGTGGCTCAACCCTGCCATTGTGCCTTTGGGCAAACGGACTCCAGAGTACAAAAGGCATCTGCCCAAGGTCGCGTGGCCTTTTAGTTAGGCCTTTTCAGAATTCTACTGGCTCTTCGTGAGATTCTAGGATTCTGTGACTCTCTAGTGGCGGAAATCTGGCAGCAGCTGGTGAGTTCGAAAAAAGCATGGAGAGGGAAGGGCCCTGGAGCCATCTCTTCTCTTTGTGTCCACCATCACGGTCAAGGTGTCAGAGCTGGGGACAGATGGAGCCCTGTCACTTACTAGCTGTGTGACTTAGGCAGAAGTCACTTTGCTATCTGAGCCTCAATTTCCTCGCTTCTGAAAGGAGATAACAGTACCCCTCTCAAGGGGTGGTGGTGATGATTTATCTCCACAACTTGAGCAAATGGCCCAGTATGGCGTAGGTGTTCAAATACCGTGAGTGCCCGTTCTTCTCTGGGCAGAAGGCTAGCTTCTTTGTGTTGATTTCCCTTCCGCTGCGGCTGCTATAACAGGTGCCTGTTATCTTTCCG